TCGTTCGGTAAGTTATTTAGTTAGAATGTTGCCTTAAATGTTGCCAATAACCATGCACTGCGGTAGAACGGGCTGGCAAGAAGAGAGGCTTGTGAATGAAAAGTGGAGAGGTTTGCTTGGAAGGTGAACGTCTAGAAAAGTGCTCCAGGCAAATGCGGTTGTGAATGAATTGAAACGTACAAACATGTAACGAATACCCGAAATACGCACGGCACATAAAAAACAATATCGCAAGTTATTATCGGGTTTTACGCGCTTAAGCCATGCTATCGTACTCAGGCGCGCTGCCTATAGTGGCGAATCCTGGACTGCATTTCGCTGCTTGCCGTTCATTAATCTGCACACAAATATAAGTTCCACAATTGTTTAGCAGTTCGCCACCGTCTAATAGCGGTGCCCGAGAGTGAACCCGGATGTAGAGAGCAGGGATGCAACGCCACTCACGTTCATTGGATTACCTGGGTGCGTCGCTCAACATGCTCGTACAAAGTCAAGCGTATTGTTTATACAGCTGCCTCAGATATAGTAAGAACTTCATGGCACGGAATGCACGATTGGCGCTTCTCTATGTTTTAGGTACAGAGGTCGTAAAAAATTTACAGGACACTGATGATGATGACGATGATGCTGTGATATTATGGTTTATGGCGCAATGGTCATTTAATGGCCGAAAAACGCAAGATCACGCTACAGGAGATGTGAGCGATGATTATGGCAAGTGGCCGTATAATGGCCTATATGTTCTACGCCTAAAGTTGTGTAGAACATATAAGCAATAAAATCATTAGATTGACGTGAATTCTGTGCAGTGAGAATGAATGTCAATCATTCTCACTGGTGATAAAAAAACAGTGGGTATACGGCATCAGCAGTATTTCAAGCTCCTATTCCCAAAGCACTATCCCATGTATTCCTGTAATGGCGTGGACTGGGAACTTTTGAACACCCCTTTACATGACTAAGCTTATGGTGAGATAAAAAAAATTATTGGCAATCACTAGGGGTGTGGAGTATTTGACAATGCTGGAGAATGTATAGGTGTTTTTTATTCGATTCGGTATTCGAATCGAATACTGTATTCGATATGCTGAATAATTTCGAATAATAAACACGACAGGAAAACCTCGAAGTAACGACCCGTTGGAACAGTGAGAGGTCAATTTTACTTGTTTTAACAATTGAATTACCAAGAGTCATGCCCCCCCCCCCCTTGCTTTTAAGACATTATCGATGCTATTTATATTAGTGACTAGATAAAGACGTTTCCGCTTAAAACTGCAGTGGCGCCGAAGCGAAAGGGCCGCCAATCCCCCATAGTATTGCTCAAAGGACAGTAGCCATTATGGCTACCTTCGAATAGAGAAGGACAATTTCTGTGAACATTTACATGACTAGCAACACAGGCAAATGTTACCTTGATTTAAACTCTCATTGTAGCTGCAGTATTCAAATGTGATATATACCGGTTTTTGGTGATAAGAGTGACGATGCAACTGGTAGTTCATTTGTTTGCACGAAAAACACCGCTGCATGTGCGGTGTTCGGTTCAACATTGCTTCATTGTTATGCTTCAATTTTAACTAAAAGCTGTTGACAAAGTGGCACCTTGAATACTATTTGCAACTACAAGTGAGCGCTCACCACGTAGCGGCCGCGCCTGGAAACGGCGCAAACAGAGTCAACCTTGAAAAGAGGTATGTTATACCACGTCGCGCGCGTTGAGAAGCAGCCACATAATTCCTTCATTTTCGCAATGCCGCGCGCACGAGACCGAAAATGAAGAAAGCGATGTCCTAACAACATTCCAGTGTGCCGCAATGCAAGGCATCGCAGTGTAAATATGGCAATTTACGTATCGTTTCGTTTTATCATTTTCCCGAACGAAGGATGCAGATGACGCGTGATAGAAAACAACGTAAATAGGAGATTATATATATATATATATATATATATATATATATATATATATATATATATATATATATATATATATATATATATATATATATATATATATATATATATATATATGTATGTATACCACCCTCTTTAGTCTTGTTGCTCAAATGCTGTTACTCTGAACATGTAGTACTGCAGATTGTGGTTTGTTCAAAACTGTAACTTAGCTAGCAGTTTCGAAGAAAGAAAGAAATGTTGAAAGCCCTGTGGCAAAAGCGGTAGAAATAGTTGATCCAAACTGTATGCCCTATTGAACAAAATAATCAAGTAATATTAACAAACGCAGTAGTCTGTAAAATACCCTCTGAAACGAAGGTGACACCTGTAACCTAAACCCTTCTTTCTTGACCACTCAACACAAGCTTTATCACTTTTTAGCGACAGGACATTCGCACTTTTGTCCTATACCTTCCACTGATATAGGCTGACAGACCTGCTGCGTTTGTTTCCTTTTTTATTTTTTTCTCGCAGGCAGCTCATACTCTGCTATCAACTTGGGCTCGTCTGGAGGTATACGGTGACGCCGGCCTTTATTACCATGTCGCATGTTTCTGTAACGCTGTTCCCTCGTGTGCCAAGACTCATGGCGGAGAGGTTTGTGCCATGACCCCCAAATGTCTGAAAATTAACGGCATTCTGGTGTTACGCTCCTCGGCTCGAAGTCGATAACTTGCATTTTTTTTTTTTAATTTCTGGTCAGCATCTGAGCACCGTGATTTATATATGTGCACGGAGGCGGACAGCCTTACTTCAACACCCTTGTACCGAGCGAAAAAAAATCACGTGATCTAAAAAAATACCCCTACTTATTTTATGTAGTGACAATTGTGGCTCTGTGACGCGTCTTTCCATCGAAACTCATATCCACTGCTTACGACGCATCGGTTAAACCTCGCCGTGGTGATCTAGAGGCTTACCTCCGTATTCTAGAACGTCCCTCCACTCCACGCTTCACCTTTACTTGAGAAGGCCGATGGGAGCGCCGTCTCTAGACAGGGAAAGTCACTGCATATCAGCGATAATCTGCTGTGCTTCTTGAGTAGCGCAGCATCACTTTCAAACGAGCAGCGGCGCATGCAGTGATCAACTCTGTCAAGTGAAGGGAGAAAGTCGAGTCGAGGAGTGTTTGTGAATACGGGGGTAAGGTACTCGGCTACTGGCCTGCAGGTCGCGGGATCGAATCCCGGCTGCGGTGGCTGCATTTTCGATGAAGGCGGAAATGTTGTAGGCCCGTGTGCTCAGATTTGGGTGCATGTTAAAAAACTCCAGGTGGTCAAAATTTCCGGAGCCCTCCACTACGGCGCCTCTCATAATCATTTGGTGGTTTTGGGACGTTAAACTCCACATATCAATGAAATCAACGCATCGGTTACGAAAACCTGCTGTGGCAGCTCTAAGGCTGGGGGGTTGCATTGTCGAACTTCAGACGCGGGATTGATACCTGGTCATGGAGGCCGCATTTAACGGGGGGCGAAAGGGAAGCAAACACACACGCGCTTAGACTTGAGTGCTCAGTAAAGAATCCGGAGTGTCACGTTTTGGCACACATCATGCATTGCGGCTTGGCACCGTTTGCGAGGTATGGTTTAAAAAATGCACCCGACAATTTTTATTCGTCTGCCACATACAAGGGCACAGTGCTGAATAATTTGTTTGTTTAAACTTCAATAAATCTAGGAGCACATTAGCTAACCTATAAGACAACAAGGACCAATATTAAAATGCGGATTTCCCAAGAGAGAGAGAATAAAATGAAGGAAAAGCAGGGAGGTTAACCAGAAATTTGAGACATCCAGTTTGATACCCTTCACTAAGGGAATGGAGAATGGGGAACGATGATGGGAAAGAAAGATAAGAGCGAAATAGACGCGTGAAAAAGAACAGAAAAAAAAGTGAGCTGGGGTGCTATGGCCTGTTAAATAGACCAATATCACGCAAGAAGTTCAAGAAGGCTTTCAATGATTTTCTATGTGAAGACAGATGATGTCGCCTTTCAAGCACCGATTGTTCTGACAAAGGTCTGTCGACAAGGCGAGCTAACGCACCAGCTAACTGCCGTCTTTGCGCGCTGTAACGAAGGCAGTGACAACGAACGTGCTCTATCGTTTCACGCATTTCCCAAAAATCACACTTTGTCGTTCACAATAAAAGTCATGGTGTGCTAGCTACTCCTTAAGTGTTAAGGCTCACACTCCCGTACTTGCTTGTGAATAGCAAGGCGTAATTGTTCTTCGTGAATTCATTGAATTTCATCTTTTAATTTTTGCCCAATCTTCCTGCCTTTTTTTCTGTCTGTTCCCCACAAATAAGTGAGATCTTGTAAATTACATCGCTTTCAGTTAGAGTGAACTTGTTGATACGTACCTTTTCTTTGAGCAAGCCATAGTTGAATTTAAACCATAATTCGAAAATTGTATGTGGAAAATTAGAAAGAGCCTAGACTCTCTTGTTTTCTTTTTTATATTCAATGTATTATACTATACAAACGAGCAATGCGTTGTGGTTTTATCGGCCTTTTAGACCAGTACTGGTAGGTTGTCTTTTTCATGGTAAAGACTGAAATAGAGGAACTAAGAACGTATCCACTCTCACCCAGCACAAACTTGTCCAGGTAACGCATGGTCGCTTTGTCGCTACACGCGATGACACCCATCACGTCCTCATATTTGAGCGCGTGCTGATCTATTTTCTCGTTTTAGGCTGAGCGTCCGGTCGATAAAGACCTCATTTTCAACTTGGCCGCCAGTTTCATACGCATTCTTATAGATGAAGGAAACAGGGAGAGTAGGTCTAGAGTGTCATTACACACAACCATATGAAGCAAACAATTAAAGAAGTCAGGAAAAACGCACAGAGAACGCTCATTGTAGCTTTTAACGGATATGTAATTATCAGATAAAACTAAACTACGAGTGAATAAAAAACAGTTTTCCGTCAGTAGGGACCAAAACACATAGCTTTCGCATTACCCATGCGATGCTGCAGCGGCCGACTCATACGGCCCGCCTTATAGGCGCATATATGACTTGAGAAAACGTGAATAAGTAATTACAAAATACATATTTTTTATTTTACTAATCAGAATACGCTGTCGGGGTCATAACTACTTCTTGAGCCAATGTTTTTTTTTTGTTGCTGCCCCCAAGGCTCAGTGTGAGAATTTAGTTCGAGCATGTAAACTCGTCGATTACAGCCTTTAGTGGTCCACACGCGGAGCACACCCAGCAGCACCGGTTTTCTGGTGAGATCATCTTGATCTGACCCACGCTGCAATCGGAGCTGCATGCTGAAACTGGTGGCAGGCCGTCTTCAGTGGTCCATAACACCTTCTCGGAGTCCAGGTGTAGAGTGTACGGCTCCCAGCGGCCGATCGGAACGTAGTCGTAGGCGGTGCTGTTATCCAGACGTCGCAAGTTGTAGATACGGTATGGGACCAGGCCGTCACCAAGCTGATCGAAGCGAACAACACTACCGACGAGATCTGTGGATGCAAGAACGCAGACTTTTCATCAGTGCCCTTGAAGTGCAACGAGATTGCCCCTCACGTTTTTATTTATAGTGGTGGCACCTTGAATATATCCCGGAAGCCTCCTGCATAGGTGGTAAAACGTCTATAGCATTTTTATGAATAATTTGTTTGCTAAGTCGTTCTTAACCTTTCTTTTTTTCAATTCAGTAGAAAAAAACACCGGGGGCATGTTTGTTCTGGTTGTTGTGTCAGCTATTTTTCTGTTTCTGCTTGTGGCAGAAACACATTGCCTAAACAAGCGTAACAAGGCAACTGCCAATTCTTGTTGATTGTGGTGTGATTTAAGGTGAAATAAAAAGTGCTATAAGTTGAAGTTATTCCATATTTACCGCGATTGATCTGGGAAGATCAAACAATCGAGGCTAGTAATTTTTATTCGAGAAAATTTACATGTAGTAGAGAAAAAAAATGAAAGAATCGATACAAATAAACTTTATAAGCTAATGTCACCTTTGCATGATCTGATAGTTACTGCGTTTTGTCGATCGGTTGGTAGCTCGGTTCTGATGATGGTCCTGCGCCACAGAAAGAGTTCTTTTTTCTGTATATAGAAGCACCTGAAAGTTTCATCGGCGATGACAACGTGTGCTTCGTGCTTCCGATGATTTGTGAATACCCACGTATGTCTTACAAATGAGCGCTTATACCTGCCGTTTTACTTGATGTCCCTAGTGAAATCATGCTACACGAAACTTCTTAATTATATTCAGTTTTCTTCGCTGTTTGCTATACCTTTAACACCACCCCAGAGTCGAATCTTCCAACATTTGTTTTATATGAAGAAAATTCAATCTGCAGTCAGTGGCTGCAGAGTTTATCTTATTTGTATGAATTGTTACCCAGCCAGACAGATCTCTGTCGTAGATGTTCACCTTTAAATGTTTGTTTTAGTTTTACCTACTCCTATTTAAGGCGACAATGAGCAGCCCAATGGTAATGTTGTACTGGTTAGGGCAACGGGTTGAAAAGATAAACGCCTGACAAACGCTTCTTCCCAAGTAAACTATAAAAGTTAATTTAACACTTTTTTTCAGGAAACATAATAAACTGCCAAAAGACAGGGATCAAATTACGTTCATTCGTTGCGTTGTGAAGAACTCACCTTCGAAAGTAGTGTTCAAGAGGTAATTCATGTAGAGGCTCTCCCCATCAAGGTTGCGGAAGGCTTCGCAGTTACTTTCATTTTCACCCCGACAAAGTTGTTTCGATGCTTGGTCAAGAGCATAGGCGAATGCATACACTGCATCCACCACAAACTGTATTTTAGCACCCTGACGGTATCCAGTGGACTCATCGAGACGCAGTGAAGCCGCGCAAGCTGTCGATGTGTCATTATGCTGCACAGGGTTGACGCTGCACTTAAAAACGTCCTCCCAGTACTCCCTGAACCAAGGGTTACGCTCGTTGTTCTCCAAAGTGAGATTCTTCATGTAAACATCATATTCGGGAATAGCCCTGGATTCTAGCTCGACAGTGATGGCATTTATATCTTGATCATGGAGACTTTCCACAATCTGGCTCTGCGTGCCCCATCCGTCGCTAGCCAACCACACGAAGTTACTGCTGGCGTTAGCCTTTTTGGCGGCTGCCAAGAGAGCTCGCGAGTCCTCGCCGTGCGTGAATAGAGCCACGACGCGAGCTTGTGGCCGGCGTAATAAGCTTTGGATGATGCCATCAAAGGTAGCCTCGTCCGCCAGGCGAGGAACTACTTCCACAATTGCGACGCAGAAGTTACCTGCTCTGGCATCTCTCAGAAATGAGATCATTCCAGAGTCACCATACACTCCTTCGGACGTCACGAGTGACACATAGGTCCAGTTGAAGTAATGAACGATATCTGTCATGACGTGTGCCTGCAGTGTGTCCGGGGGAACGGTCCTGGCGAAGAGGTCGTAGCGGGTCTTGTCACCCAGTGAGCTTGCCGTGGATGCTGGGCTGATCTGAGGCACATGGAAGAGCCCTAGTAAACTGGCCACTTTCTGAGACACCTCGCTGTAAGAACCACCGATTACGCCCGTAATTTTCTGCTTCTCATTATGTATACCAGGCGCTGAACCATCCGCGCACTTGAAGATTCCCACGTTAGCCGGTGGATCGAGGAACTGCAGGGCCTGTTTTAACGCGTGCTCTCCGCTCGAACAAGTATCCAGTATCGTAGCTCCGAGGGATATTCCGTTTAGCAAGGATGGGTCTCGGTTGATTCGGTCTAAAGCAAACAACATCGCTTCAAGTCTTTGTATACCGCGTTCGCCATTTAATGCCCCACAACCACTGTGGCCGGACCTGTGGTGCACGGGGAAAAGGCCTCCAAGGATGATGTCACCAGGAATCTCTATTCGCGCACCTTGACTTTCTAGCAGCATGAGCGCCAGCAGCGTGAACTTGAACGCCATGAATTCGGGAATTCCAACCTGCAAAAAGTATCAGAACACAATAGCTAAACAGAATGTTCGGTTAAAAGAATTGCGTGGTCCCAAAAGCTTTTTATCCCTATTGTTGGGAGCACAATGTTACTGACGCAATGCGATTTGGCTACGTAATGTGCCAATTTTTCAACGCCCGAGTTTTTCGACATGATTGGGAGTTCGTACGCTATTACGGCACTTCCACAATTCCCACAGAATAAGTGCATAAAAGCGTCTTTCGGTAGAACGAATCCTGCTCCATCGACCGGGCCTAATATCTAAGAAGAAGGCTGTACAAGCACTACTGCATTTTCCGCGTTGAAGTGGTCTGTCAGAAGGGCTTTAATTTGAACGTCCTGCGTGATAGGTTATGCGTGCGTGTGTATGCTTTGTTTTTCACCCCTGGGCAGGGTAGCATAGCGTTTACTTGATACCAGGTTAACCTGCCTTCGTTATCCTTGTAATTTATTTCTCTCTTTCTCTCTCTCTCTTTCTCTCTCTCTCTTTCTCTATCTTTCCTTCTCTCTCTCTCGCTCTCTCTAAGACCCTTAAGCTCTTTAATGTCAGATTTTTCAGACTTTTCGCTCAAACAGTACGGCTCGAAATGCACTAAATGAAGCCCCCACCACTACAGCCTCAGCTTACTGCTCGGTAGTGCATGTGACAGAGCGCAGTTATAAGCATGCTGCACACTTTTGGCAGACGACAACCCAAACTTGTCACGGTGCCGTTCGCTGCTGCTTCTTTATGTGAGACCGCAAAGATTTCCCTAAGGAGATGTTTCTTTTAGAAACGAAAGCAGTTCTCCACCGCCGTGCCTTTGTGCGGTCAGGAATGGGGTGGTGGGGGCACTCCGAACACTCACGGTATACGATACAGCAAGCGTTCCGGCAATGACAGCGTGAGCGGGACACAAATAGGACGTGCGGGACACAAATAGGAATGGTCGGATAGGTTTCCATCAGGTACCGAACATATTCACAAACACTCAAATGAATGGTTAGTTTACTGGCAGGCCTTGAAAGCTATACATGGCTGTGATAATTTGAGAACTCGAGTGAAGTTAAAAAGCATGATTTCACTTTTGGGCTGCCCGCTTTTTCAGGCAATTTCGTGGTCCCTACAACAGTGATCGGAAGTTGAGTAGCTTAGCGTAGTCGAAAAGTCAACGTGATAAATTGTGAACTCATCTAATAGTAATATACTCATCCTGAGGTAATATTCCTGTTTAAGCTTTCCAACATCACTTGTTAATAATGCATTATTAGAAAACCCAACTGCACAACTGCGCAAGAAGAAACATTGAACGCAGGACACAAGCTATCACAAATAATTAAACCAATGTGATCAGCAAACAAGAGCAAAGTAAACAACATGCGAGAATGAGATAGGTTGAAAGCTCTTTTCTTGCAGTAGCAACGAATCTTAATTGTCCCAGATATTATAGGTTCATTCAGTATCGATGATCACAACGTTGATGATATTTCTCACGTGGTACTGATGCCATAAAGAGGGCAACGTGGAACGTGTTTGTGACTGTACAGAGGAGGCATCTCCATGATCTCTTCATTTCGATCCTCCGTGAACAGGCACATCACCCGTGCAACCTGCGCCGGTTTATTTCCACTATACTGGCCCAGTAATGAGCAAGGCTTATCTGACAGGTTCTTTTTTAGCAAATGTTATACCAGTTAATACGCCCTGCATTGATGTGTCCGTGCAAAGCTATGCTCCAATATAACACAAAATTTATCTTTAACTCAGCCTCGGTACCGAATTTCGGATTCCCTTTTGTATCAAAGTGAAAGCTTGTTAAATAGCCTCTAGTTCACGAAGTTCATTAGAACGTCAAAACTTCCATTCGCATATAAGTGTGACACAACTTTCGTCTTTCAATGAGAGTGAGAAAGTTGGCGAGCCACGAGGCACATCTAAAGGTTTCAAGGTCACAAACACTGTAGCACCTCTTACCGTTTACTGCAGCAGGAGTGATCTTGATAGGTTATCAAAACAAACCACTGGACGATTCAACCTTCGACAAACTTGGCTGGCTTTAACGGAGCCACTCAAGTGCACCGGTTTGTCGCAGCCTCTCCACGTGGAGAGCACTGGGATTTTCCCAAGTCTCTTTCAAAGCGGTGCAGACACCGTTCAGCAACATGGCTATCTTCAAGATACATGTTCTCCCATTCGGGTTATCACGTGCCGCCACCAGGCTTTACTAGAAAAAAATAAAAGAAGAGCTAAAATTGACTCTGCGGGTAACACGAAACCAGACATTGCAAGATGAGAGAGAGTTAACAAGACATTTTATCTTGGGTTGCACGCGTGGCGGAAGTCTGGCAAAATATGTCGAGCTTTATTGCATTGGACTTGTTGAACGCAGGCAATGAATTTTGTTGCATGCGAATTTTCAAAGCATATTAACAAGTGGCACTATTTAAACGTAACTATTAATTTATAGCAATGTAAATGATTTTATTCTGTAATCACCGTATCTTACACTCGTTGTCACCTTTCAATGTAGCGCGAACAAGCGAGCGCCCTCTGTGGGGCTATCTATCAGCAACTGAAGGGGCTCGTGCGGCCGATCTCCTCGAGATGCCTCTATCTGTTCAGAGAAAGCAAGCACAGTGCATGATGCCGTGTCGGGTGTGTGAAATTGGTTGTCTGCAACTCCAAATTTTGTCCGTAAAACTTACGAAGAAGGTACACACACACACGTGCCCGCACACACTCACACACATGTACGCGCGCACTTTTCTCACTAACTTACGTCAGTGAAAAATGTTTATTTCCTCGCATTTCGGAAAGCTCGCTTTTATGTATTCGCAAGAAACAATTCCTCTGACCATACGTTCACTCGCTATGGCAGCTTCACTTGGCGTAAATCGATACATTGTACGAGACTATTTGCGCCGCCAGGTGCATAACGTATGCCTGCTTGTAAATAATATTATCTGGGAGTTTACATCCCAAAACCAAGACATGATTATGAGAGACGCCGTAGTGGAGGGCACGGAAAATTTTCACAATCTGGTGTTCTTTAATGTACACTAACATCACACAGTGCACGGGCCTCATCCAGTACGCCTCCATCGAAATGCGACCGCCATGGCCCAGATAGAACCCACGACCTTTGGGTCCGCAGCAAAGTACCATGGTCACTGTTCTGCCGAAGAGGACATGTCCGCTAGTACAGAGTTGCATGCTCTGACTCACCCAAACCACGTGCATGCCCGACAACTCTCACAGTTTTCGCGGTGAACACGTCAAAGCTACACGACAGCGCAGTGCTTACTGCGCCAGTATCACTAATGCTTACTGCCACAAGGACGCACAATACGTTGTTACATCTGGTATAACTCAATTTTTTTTGCTCAAGCTGAATGTACTGAGGGTGGAAAGTTGAAGAGTTGCCATGACGCTAACGCAACGATAGAGCTTCTGATTGTTGTCCAAACAACAAGAAATCTCTAACATTGAATATATTTTACGGCACAGAAAGGCCAGAACAAATGAAAACATGATGTGTAGTCTATCTAGAGCTTCGAAGTTAGTGTGACGTAGGTGGAACCCAGGTTTGAAAGAATGGTATGAGAGTCAAGAATGTTTTGAGCAGCATATTTTATGTAACCAAAAATGATAAAAAAAGAAAAATGAAAATTTTCGAAAGAAATTTGTCAATGACAGTTATCAATGACATTTATCAATGTTGAGAAAACGATGAATGGAAAGCGTTATTAGGCAGCCAACAGACTGAGAAAGGCATAACAGCTTTGTAAAAAAAGCAATAAATGAAAAGAAGAGAAAGTCGCAGTTTCGCCGCAAGGGCGAAGAAATGAATGCAATAGCAACAACTTGAAATGTAACGCTGAGAACAGCTAGCAGATCGAAACGTACAGCGTAATCTTCACGCACAAATGACGCACGAAAACAACACGCAGGACGAGAGCTAACTAACAACGTTTACAGCTCGACACTGAACGCACTGTTTGAACAAAAACGATGCACGAAACGTAATTACAGGTACAGATATGAGTGCGAACTAAGTGTACCAGTTGTTAACTTCGATGTATTTTAAAAGCATGCTCTTTTTGCAAGCGACTCCTGTCTAACGAGCGGAGTAATTTTCGTGCGCCCTTAACTAAACAGAATCGTTCCAGTGAAAGCCGAAAACGCGCGATCCTCCCACACGACAGGATAAGTGGGCGGATAAGGCATAGAGAAAGAAAAAGATAAGAGAGGACACTCCGCGAAACCTGGCCTCAGGAAGTGCGTCACGACTACGTAACGAACAAGTGCTCTCACCAAACGTCAGAGGACGCAAGCACACACACAAAAAAAACAGTTATAATCAATGCAGCAGAATTGTTTTTACAAAATAATATTTATACGCCCAAATCTGGTATGTTATTTATACATAAAAACAATTTATTCAACACACCTTACGCGACTATTTTTCTTCAGCCGTACTGTCATAAACACCATCCACCCAGCGACAAGCCCATGCATGACTGACAGCGGGAAGCTTTCGTCAACGTCGGCTGCGTCGGCGTTTTCGTGCGTGAGATAACAGGTGAGGCACGTTTTCAAGCGAAGCGTGTTGAATGACATGTTGTTGGGCTTGTTGGGTCATTTTTTCAGAAAACGGTTACACCTGCGCGAATAAGACACCTTGCAACAAACATAGAAAGATGCACACACACACACGTTGCGCCTCGTGTGTGCTAGTTTGTTTCTTACGTGGCGTCTCATTCACGCAGTTGTAACCTTTTTCTGAAGCTTGTAAGGACGGGGAGGTTCGCTAAAAAGAAAGTTTGCGGCTCTATGCGGCGGCTAGACGGGAACATTGTGCAACGTATGCAGTATAGCAAAGGCGGCACGGCGTCAAGCCGAGGTGACGCGTGCTGCGTCTGCCACGGACGCGAGGGTCTGTGCGCTGAACATAGCTGGGCAGCTAGGTCATATGCTCGGTGCAAAATATTGAGAAGCGTTCGCTGGGCCTCGCATGCTTCACGACGCGTTTCCCGAAGGCTCGGAACACGAATAATTCTTGGTGTGCCGGAGGCAAATCTGGACTAGTCAAGTGGCCATCATCTTCGTTTCTTCGCTAGCCTTGTGCCACTAGTGCAAGCTGCCCACAATTTTTTTTGACGTTTTCAATATAATTTTACCGCACAAATTTCAACTACGATTTTTCTTCCCAATGTACTGCTGATACTGCGTACGCACGAAGGTGTTCTGTAGTTCCCAGGCCGCGATACCATTGCATTACAAGGGATAGCGGCCTGGAAACTTCTGAAGATCTTTGTACGTGGTCTTGACGTCTATCTTTGTAAGTCAGAATTTTATGGGTGAGAGGTGTATCACTGGTTTTGTATTGTGCATCGATTAGCTAATCATTCAAAGGGGTTGGCTGGTACACTTATGACGTGCACATATCTTTTTCGTAATTTGACACCGAAGCATCCACTTACTAACATTTTCAGACCGCGCTGATGCCATGCCGTCCGGCGGTCCAAGCTACGGCAGCTACTGCTGTGTATCGTGCACATGGTGCTTCAACAATGGCAGAACCCACAAGAAGTCTGGGACGAGTTTCTTCCGCATACCACGGGACGGCAGGTGTGTTAAAACTTTTGTATGGTTTGCATGTCTTTAGGCTTACTGTTCGTACTTGCTCAGTGAGGGTAACAATAAAAAATCACTATTCAAGCACTTCCGTTTTCAGTTGATAGTTCATTGCCAATGCAGGATGAAAGCATGGATGCAGTATGCTGGGCGCGATGATCTCCTGAGTAAGCCGGCCAGCCTATTGTACGCAACGTACAGGGTTTGTAGCGACTATTTTACTGCTCAAAGTTTCATGGACCCTGGGCACACAAGGCTTACAAGAATGGCTGTTCCCACTGTGCAACCAGCTGCACCATGTAAGTGATTGACTGAAACTCAAATATGTGCAATAGCAGTCACTTGTATTGAATCAGTGGCGACAGTTAACCGCGAAGATCTTTGTAGCCGATGGAGAAACCTCACTATAGAAGTAACACTTGGAAAGTCTTAAATTTTGTGAATTGTGGGCTATTACCTTCCTAACAGCAGCTTTACATTTCTGTCGTTTTTTGATGCTCTTGACCTGCACAACTTGTTTTGAAAGACTTTAAAGGGCTATTTCACGTTATCTTCAAGCCTGAGTGCACATGTACATATACCTTTCATCAGTGAAAGCTGGCACTGTTGATAAGTCTAAAAATCACAAATTACTTGTTTTCTAGTTGGTGCCTTTTCTTTTCTTCTACGTTCGACCAATTTATGCATTTGAAAGAGCTTTTTAAGTTTCCGCATGCTACAAGCTTTGTAACTTGTACCAACTGCACATATATGCAGGTTCTCTGAGCATCGCTTCAAATAGTGACTGTGACATGACTGCAGAAGCTGCACTGCAAGGTGCGGATGAGCTTCAGTTTGTGTTATTTTAAGCCTCTTACTGACACATTGTCGTAATTTCATTTCTTCAGGACCTGCGGTAGAGGCTTCAAAAAGCAGCTCCCACACATTGAGGTGCCCCGATGAGCAGGGTGCGTTCAGTGTCGCGATTTCTTTTTTTTTACCCAAATTGACTGTTGACCAAACCTCTGCAGGTGGCAGCTCCCTTGTAGCTGGTGAAAGAATTTCTGCTGACTTCGTCTTGCCGGGGAAAACCTTAACCAGTCGTTCAGCTGTCACAAAAGGAACTTGTGTGACCGGTAAGTTGTATGTTCACTTCAACACCAGAGTGGATTGATATAGAGACTTCTGCAGGCCGCTCGCAGGATTGTTCCGACAACACTGTCCGAGGCACTGAACAAGCTTCACAAGACCCTCCAGAAGACGTCTCCACCAACAGCTCCACGCCTGAGTGCCCTAGAGAAAATGGTGACTATGCTTTTATTGCAGCTGTTTTTAATGTGCTATTTTATGTTTAGGACATTCTGAGGAAACTATCCTCAAAAGGACACTACGTGTGCACTTACAAAATGTAAGGGTGGGCTCTCAGTGATTTTCATTTTTTTTGCATTGTCAACATTGTGAATGGTTTGTTTTTAGGTAGTGGAATCGAAAACTTTGCACCACAGAAAGTTGTGCACCTTGGGTCTGAAAGAGCGAGGAAATTGCTCGTATGAGATTAGTTGTTCTTCGCTTTTACATCCATATTTTTGTTTATTGCAGTGCGTTCCTGTGTGCCAGCGACAATGTCTCCATCAATAAAGTACAAGAAAACCATTAAACGTCTGCAAGCCAAAGTAGCAGCACAGCGGAAAACTATCAAAAGACTGCGGAGACAGCCTGACCAGGCACCGTCATCGACTTCAAAGGCCCTTGGAGTTATCCGACCGCAATTTAGCTTCTCATCAACCTCCTCATCTCGCCCATCAAAATTTTCAAAAGAATACCCAAACTTGTAGCGTTTTGTAGGGCTGCGGACGCTGCCATTTTATTTTTATATAGCTTGTGAGTGATAACGTACGATGTAGAGCCATTGTGAAAAATAATGAGCCAAAGTGGTTTCCTTCTGCTATTTATTAGCCCTGTAATACCGCTCTCGTAGCACCAATTAAGGTCCACAATTCTGGATAAGTGATGACTACAATCTATTTTAGCTCGCAAGCGTCACAGCAGCACCCAGACGCAAATCACTTGGGATCTTAAGTTTTTGATGAAAGCGACGCATAAGAAGAGCCACAAGACCTGCCAGTGTTGTAGCATAAAGTTTGTCTTTCACGTAGTGAGCAAGCTGCAAAGCCCTACCTTTCTGGGGACAAGCAGGCATCAAGTCCGCTTTTTTTCGTTTTGGGCTAGCTGTTCTTAAGCACAGCCAGCACACCGCACCTTTGCCTTTCTGCTATATTTTGTCGTGTGGTTTATGTGTGCTCTTTTTTTCTATGCATTATTCCGGTTAACCCTAGGCATGATTCACGACTTCATTGCTGTGTAAATGGGAAACACGCGAAATATAAAACGTGACAGAGGGAAAGTGAAGAAAACCCAGAGTGCGAAAAGCACTCTGGGTTTTCTTCACTTTCCCCAGAGCCGAAAACCCAGAGTGCGTGGAACGAAATAATACTAGGGAACGGGAAAGGCAATGGTGGCTGCGAGAACACTCCGAAGCTTCAGTGTCTATGGTCAAACCCGAATCCCTCTGCCTAGCCTAGAACATAGACACAACCTATATCACCTATAGCTAAGGCCTATAAACAACATACAGGCAACCAGATCAGTCTTTAGAATCGTCCAGTCTTGCCGTTTCAAGGCTGGCGTGGCTTATCCACCAATGTTTTGTTGTTTTTGGAGGTGAATCTATCCTTGCAAGATATGCAGGAAACGGCCCAGTATGGTTTTCTCCATTCAAATTCACCTGAAAGCATCATTAAGAGTGAATAGCGGATAGACAAACATAAAGGCGCGCGCCACGTGTCACGAACATTTACATGTCGACGTCTGTCGGCGTTCAGTGAGAAGTCGCGCGTATAACAGCGTTGTGCCAGCGTTGTGCCACAACGCGCTACGATTCAATATGAGGGCCGCTCATCACCAATCACATCAGAGCTCTCTGCCGGTTATTTATTTATTTGGTTTGAGTGCATAAAAACACAAAGACAGAGGAAACAGGGAGCGAACAGGCAGACAACTGCCACCTGTAGGGGCACAACGCCTGCTTGCTCCTTCGGGAAGGGAATAAATTTAAGAAATCAGATAAGAAAGAAGGAGAGAGAAGAAAGCTTAAAAAGAAGAAAAAAAAACACACATGAAGAAAAAGAACGAATGGTCACATGAAAAATGTCTCTAAACGTGACGCCAAGTCATTTTTTGTTAAGAAAGTCAAATGGGTTATAGGAGCCTGGTCACGCCTAGAAGCACATTCTCCTGGGAACGAACAATTGTCAAGCGTCGTGCGTTTCAGTCCATAGTCCTTTTTGAGTAGTGCTCGTTGTACAACAAATTTAGGGCACTCTAAAATGACGTGTTTTATTGTCTCACAGGAGCCACACGACGAATATATCAGACCGTCCTTGACGGTATAATCGTTCGCGCTTTGACACAGAACCGACTCTTAGCTTGTATAATATAGGGCTCTGTCACGAAGACTCAATCGACGACCATGAATACCAGGAGGAAACGATGCGCTTGCCACACGCTGACCGGGATGCTGCTTTAGAAGATTTCAGTGAGTCAGCAGACGAGCGTTGTCGAACCGGCATGAAATCTCTTGTCAGTCACACTCGTTGTGGTCACTAGTTGAAGCGAGATGATCGGCCTCTTCATTCCCAGAAATACTAACATGCGAAGGTATCCAATGGCAAATTAGGGACAACTCATGAGTATTAAGTTTTGTGGCACATTTAAGGACGCAGCTTATTATTGGGCCAATGGAGCCTTTTCTCAACAATCTGCTAAGGGCTGCAGCGTGAGAATCTGTTAAGTATGAAAACCTTCGATTCTTCTAATTCTTCTAGTACATATTTCTGCGTCACATCAATTGCAGCTAGTTCCGTAGTCGTTGAAGAGGATGGATGCGTTTTACGAAACACCCGTCGGACGTTAGTTTAAGGGCAAAAGAAAGCTGCAGAGGTATACCTTGTATACAGATGCGTGGGTGAAAACTTGAAGATGACCGTCAAAACGTGTGACTAGGCCAATTGAAATAGTGACGAAACAGGCTGGTCAGACTATTTCAGTATTCCGGGAATAGAAAGATAAAAGGGGAAGATACATTTGTTGCGTTCTTTTGGAATATTGAAAAACCTAAAAAATGTACGGTACGTGACACCTCCTTTCTGAGTGTCCAATGCCCACGCAGAAGCCGCATATTATTTGCTTGTCATATATGGCGTCCGAAACGCTGGGGTTCTTCAAACACTTTCTAGCTTTATCAAGTTCATTGCACTTCAGCGAATAATGATCAGAACTACCATAGGTCCTGACGGTCAGAAACAATGGCGTCACAGCAAGTCTGATCTTGTAAAGCTACCCAGGTATGTACGCGCTGACCCCATGCGAACGCGATGTAGCACGAACGCGATGTAGACTTTGCTTTGGTTAATCATTTTGTCATGCACGACTGAAGGCAACCATTAAGATTGTAAATCTTTGGGGACAGCTTCAGTTAAAAGCCATGCAGGATCTCCTAGGGCCTGCTTTGTTGGTCTTAGTTTTGAGGCATTTCGGGCAAGCCTGTCAGCCATCTTGTTATCAACTAAACCCCCAAGTGACGGAAACCACTGAACTTTTACAATAAGTTGCCTGGGGCACAATCATTCAAAAATATACACTGATCTTTTGGTACACTTTTAAAATAACACTTTTGTATAATAGCTACTGAGCGGGCTTGCTGACTTACAGTACCAAAACTTGTTACTCTCTACAATGCTTTCATTTCTTTAGGGATGGCTTGATTTTCGTACTTTCACTTTCGGTTAATTTTGATAGTGTGACTTTAGCGAGTTTTTTTTCACTGGCCTCCGCCCTTTACGTATTCAGCTCTTATTTTTTGTTTATTTTTTTCTTCGTTTTTGCTGAGAGCACCCACTTATATCAAAGCAGATGTGGATGCATTAGGATGCCCCGCTAGACTGCAAGCTTGAATTGAATGCAATATGGATGTTGTTTAGACTTCAATAAATGATAGGGCTCTGAGGAATCTGTCACTAAAGGTGAAGATTTGTGATTAGCATCGCCGCGTAGGTCGACCGGAGGTGGTTTGTAAACTGTCTACTCACGTCCATGCTGCGCCACGAAAAAAGCTTTGGAAGAACGGCGTACAATCCAAAAGCGTCCGTCGTGCACAGCCACCGTTAGGGGGGCGGGCATGCTGTATCTCCTAAGAAAAGGTTGTGTGGCCACCACGAGACTTTAGTGTTTTAATATGCGTTGCTTCGCTGACCTATATTTAACAAAATGCCAGCCGCAGAAACTGTACGGAAGGCGTTGTCAATAAAACTTGTACTTAATATCTCTCTATTCCATGGTGATCACGCTACCAGGAGATGAAGGAGGGAGCCATAAATCTGTCAGACCAATGAGCATCGAAGGTTTCGTTGCAGGAAAGCCAAAAGGTGAAGCATGACCTCAGTAAAAATGAGTGCTGAGTTAGCTGGTATGCTGCATTCTCACAATAAATTCAGCACCAATGAAACACACACGAAAGAATAAAACCGAGAAAGATGGGCACCATTAGCAATCGCTTATTGCCACAATCATTAATTGCCTAGGGACACACATTCTAAATACTGTCGAGAAAATTAAGTTGAACTGCACTGAACGTCATTTATGCAGCGTCTTGTTAATTAGAATTGCTCCCACTTCGAGTGGGCTTGTTTTGCACTCATGTTGTGGATAGAGCAATGTGTGACTATGCGTAGGTACAAAAGACAACGCATATGTAGATAAACTAATGTAGATAAATTAAAAAAGCCTTGCGTTTCACATTGCCTTCATACACGCAGTTTCCCCTCTCCTTTTTACCTGTTGTCTTGTCTAGCAGTTCTTGATCGCGCTGCAGCTCGTGCGACTTTGGACCGAGGTATGGCTCCACAATATATATGGGTCCGTGATTGCTGAAGGGGGACATGTAATATGCATCGTTATCGCACCACAGCTGCCAGACACTCGTTGCCCGTCGGGATGCTTCCCTATGGTCAATGAGGTGATTTAGCGGCATCGCTCTTTTTAGTTGATTCAAGTGCATAGTGCTTTAGAGGCCCCTATTGTCGTCCATCTGTCTTACGTTACGTTGCATATGGTCACACAGTGGTCAATAAAGACCTACAACAGGGTTAACGATAGCAAATACCAGTGGAAAGTAAACATACAAGATGTAAGTAACATAAAAACCACAATTAATTATGTTGAAATCACTTTAATTTACCTGAAATTGAGAAAAACACTTCTGAAACACGCAGTGATACCTGCGCCGTGCTAGAGAGGGCGCGACTGCCTCGAGAAAAGTACAATAGGCAAGGGAATCGCTGGGTTGCCTACCCGTGCTACGCACTTCCTTACATAATTTAGGTTTTGCTGGTGTCGAGCTGCGTTAAGTTCATGATTAGGGACTATACACGAGCGCCGGCACAAGAATGGCATTAACCAGGGATTTATTACTATATCATGGCCTACACAAATAGTTACCGGAAATATTAGTGCTAAATTAAAGCACAAGAATAAAGAGATTTGACAGTTTCTAAATTCTTATTGCTATATAACCACGCACTTTGAGTATTAACTTCTGTTGATCTAAAAAATGTAACGTCGGACTTTTTCTTGAGTGATTAAAAAAAAAAAACAACCGGGCTGATGAACAGTGATTGTCAGGCCCTTTAAATTATGTGCTTTTTTGACCTACCTTTTTATCGACAAGACAGATATGATAACCCGAATAATAAAAAAAAAGGTGCGAGTAATTGAGACTCCACAAGTGGACGTCACTTTTTCTGTATGTATGTTGTGCTTGGAAGGCTAACAGTGAAAATTTTAGCCGGCACAGGTAAACTCGTCAATTGCTTTTTTAGGAGGCTCACATGTGTAGCACATCCCGCAACACCTGCTATCTCCAAACAGTTTGATCTGGCCAACGGCACAGTCGGAACTGCATGCTGATACTGGCGGCCCACCATCTTCAGTGCTCCACAACACTTTTTTGGCGTCCATATGCAGTGTATACGGTTCCCAGCGGCCGATCGGAATGTAGTCGTACGTCGTGCTGTTATCCAGGTGCCGTAGGCTGTAGATACGGTAAGGAGCCAGCCCATCACCGACATTGTCGAAGCGAACCACTCTGCCAGCGAGATCTGTGAAGTGCAAAAAATCACACTTTGTAATGCTTCAAACTTTTACTGGGTGAGACAACATAGTGCTAACAATACGTGCACGCATGTTTCTGAGAGTGCATCAATACTGAGCTTCCCAGTGATCCTGGCTCTTTCCTGGAATCAACGTCTCACCTGTATGGCGTTACATTCCTCATAATGCTATTAACTATAAATATTTGTAAAGAAATATGCACTTTTTGTTGTGGTGCCATCTGCTTCTTTATTACGACGGGTCACAAAATAGCAACGCCGAAAAAAGTACCTAGTCACCCGCACTATAATGTTAGTTAATTTGTGACAGCCTACATGTTCCAATGCAAATGAAGAGTAGCGTCAATTTACCTATTTCTACATCGCCTTAGAATGATTTGGCAACGGTCACACTTACCGGGGCTACAAATTTTTATGCTCGAGAAAACTAATGGCATGAAGAAAATCCGGCATAAATAATTCATTTCAAACGTACTTCACAGACTTGTTTGAATTTCTTCGATCCACAATTAATTGTTCTTTATGTGGAACATTATTTTACAACGTGTCTGTCGATGGACCAACAATGCAGGAACGGATGCCAAGAGCTGCACTCTGAAATGTATCGCAATGATATGCACCGTGATCACAGAGGCAATGAACGTCATTCGACCGATACCCTCTATAAATGACTCCACACTGCTCGGCAGACACAAAAGCTTCTCTAAGATAAGTGGCACCTGCGAATTCGCAGTGCACGTTCGCCAATATGCGCATGTGGATTGCTGACCACCAGCACGATTGTCAGATAAACCATGATCTTCTAGATGATCTTGCACGTGAATGCTCTGGCTATTTTTTTTATCTTCGCTCCCTCTTTGGCGCATTCATGTTGCGTATATTCTTAACTGTAGCCTTAATGAAAAGAACATAGACTACTATGTGCCTTTCGACCTATTTGTGTACTGGGGGAAAGAGAACTGGTGACCTGAAGTTCTCAGGCCGTGGTGAACTGCATGCGACATATACAAGACCAGGCGAATGATCAAAGTATTAGAATATTCTTATATTAAGGGTGAAGATTGATTAACAGCATAACACAACACTTTTGAATAAAAAAAGAAGTAGCAGTTGGTCATCACACATTTTGTCACACGTATGCGCGATAGATTTTTGAGAATGTGCATAGGGTAACACACAATTATATACCACATGAAAAGTTCAAATTATAATAATTTAGTGCGTAGTTATTAGACTCACCTTTGAAAGTAGTGTTCAAGAGGTAATTCATGTAGAGGCTCTCTCCGTCGAGGTTTCGCAAGGCCTCGCAGTAGCTTTCATTTTGACCCCGGCAAAGTTGTTTAGATGCTTCGTCTAGAGCATGTGCGAATGCGTACACTGCATCCACCACGAACTGCACCTTAGCTTCCTGGTGGTATCCAACAGATTCGTCGAGACGCAGAGAATTCCCACAAAGTGCCGATGTGTAGATCTGCTGCGCAGGGTCGACGCTGCACCTAAACACTTTCTCCCAGTACTCCCTGAACCAAGGGTTACGCTCGTTGTTCTTCACTGTGAGGTTCTTCATGTGAGCGTTGTATTCTGGAATAAGCTTGTAATCCAGCTGGGCAGTGAAGGCACTCAAATCTTGATCATCCAGCCCTTCGACGACCTTGGCCCGCGTGCCCCAAGCGTAGCTGGCCACCCAGATGAAGTGATTGTTAACGTTGGCTCGTTTGGCGGCTGCTAAGAGAGCTCGCGAGTCATCGGCGTTCGTGAATAGAGCTACAACGCGAGCTCGTGATTGGCGTAAGCTTTCGATGAGGCCGTCGAAGGTAGGCTCGTCCGCCAGGCGAGGAATTACTTCCACAACCGCGACGCAAAAGTTACCTGCCTTGGCGGCTCTTAGAAATGAGGTCCTGCAGGAGTCTCCATACATTCCTTCGGATGATACGAGTGACACGTAAGTCCAGTTGAAGTAGTGAACAATATCTGCGATTATCAGAGCCTGCATTGTGTCTGGGGGGAGGATCCTTGCGAATACTTCGTAGCGAGTCCTGTCACTTAGTGAGGTGGCCGTAGATGCCGGGCTGATTTGAGGCACGTGAAATAGACTTAACAGACTGGCCACTTTCTGAGACACTTCACTGTAAGAACCACCGATTACACCTGTAATTTTCTGCTGGCCTTTATCCGGAAGGGGTGTTGAACCATCGGCGCACTTGAGGCTTACCGAGTCCGCTGCTGGATCGAGGAGTTGGAGGGTCTCTTTCAACGCGTGCTCACCACTTGAACAAGTATCCATTATCTTGGCTCCGAGCAAAATTCCGTTTAGCAATGACGGGTCTTGATTGATTTGGTCTATGGCAAACAACATCGCTTCGAGTCTCTGTATGCCACGCTCCCCATTTAAAGCCCCACAACCACTGTGTCCGGACTTGCTGTGCACGGGGAAAAGGCCTCCTAAGATGATGTCACCAGGAATATCTATTCGTGCTGCTTGACTTTTTAGCAGCAGCAAGGTCAAAAGCGTGATCTTGAACTCCATGAAGCTGGGAATTTGATCCTGCAAAAAAAGCACATAACAAAAACATTTGAACATAGAGTACATGTAAGTCGAAGTAAGGCAATACCCAGATGATTGTTGGCGGTTTACTGGTCTGATAAATTGCCCCAGTCTGTGGTCAGCAATGTTTTTCTCCGTCAAACTGCGGTGTAGATACATATAAACACAATGTTGGAGTAATAAGTAGGGGCTTAAAGCGGCCATCAACACAACGTCACGAGACTTAAGTATACAATGCCTGTGAATCTTGACATGTCTCCCAACTAAGCTTGAAAGGATTGAGCACATTTTTGAACAACGATTTTTAGAAGGAACGCTGGTGTTAGTGTCTATGGGAGCTGCAAGCAGGGCAATACAGCCAGCAAGAGAATGATAGGTAAAGCACCTGGAAATGATAAGCTTCGTCTGGCTTGATATGGTTTATGTTACTTCTATAATGAATCATTTACAATAAAATGTTGTGCTATAAAAACGACAAGTTGCAATGACTATGCACATGCACTGGTACGTATTCCATTCCATAATTTCCCCAATTATCTGCTAATGTATAGAAGCGTGACCACGAAGAACCTTTATCGATCGATAGTACAGATCATTAGGTCCACTATATTGACCACTAATTATTAAATTATTATTTTTATTATTATTATTAACGTTGTTATTGTTGTTGTTGCTGTTGTTGTTACTAGCGAAAATATGCTTCTGAAATGAATGGAAACCTCCACATTTTTATAACAATTCTTAATTGGAACAGCGTGGGGTAGCGAAAATTAGTTGAAAGGCCACTTCTTGTAGGCAGGAAACAAATACCTCAAAGTGTACTAATTTGAACGTCACTGCAAAATGCACACCACCACAATAATGACACTTCATCGACATTTCATCCTAATGAATTTCTGCAAAATGAGTTACACCTTTTTTAAAATGTAAAACATCCTCCCAGCTCCTCACTAACCTCTAAGCAATGCTGTGAAATATATATTGAGAAGAAAAAGCTGGTTTACTTTCTCTTTTCACAGGATATATACATATATATTCAAGGTAAGCGTACTAAACTTCTTCAGATAAACACAGATGGTTTGAGTTAAGCATCCGGGGAAAATATAGGTAATATCTTATAATGACTGCTACTGATGATTATTTTTAAGCAGTAGCTCATTTTATTCATAAAATGCATTAAAATAGAAAATTTTCTACTTCCACTACCGCACACGCCTGACTCAACCAAATAAAGACTCTGAGCGACAGCAACAACTTGTACGCACACAGAGGATTACTCATGGCTACATTTTTCATATGTACACGTTACGCGACTTCCACTCTTAGAGACTCTACTGATATGACTATGCCAAAACAGATTCTCTGAACGTTTGACTGAACATACGTCTGATCAGAATAGCATAAAACGACTTCATAGAGTACTTCAATTATCAGCGAACAGGTACACCTTGTCTGTGTGAGCTGCACCTCCTGTTCTGTTACGCCGCAGGGGCTCAACAATAAGTAAGTGTGAAGGTGGGATGATTCTGTCTTCTAGCGCATGTTATACGAGCCGGTAAATGATGCCCAATAATGGGCATGTTCTGGCAAAACCATGCTCTGATACAACGCGGAAGTTATACCCTTAACTTGATTTGGCCGATTAAATGCAGAATCGCTTTAGAACAAGACACACGGGGACACTTTTCCAATGATCATCTCGGCCGTAGAATTGTGAGAGCTCTCTAAAAAGCACATCCGCCTTCCATTGTGACGCAAATTTTCATTTTATTTAGCAAAAACTTATGCCTGACAAGAAAAACTTGAACAATCCACAAGGTCGGCACCTTAGTGCTATATCTCTTACCGTTAAATGAAGAAGGTGAGAACCCTTTTAATATGTTAATTAAGCAAACTCAAGGTGGATCTACCGCCTCAAAAGTGGGCCAGCTTGTATAACACCAATGAAAGTATGCCGGGGCGTTGCAGATCTGTCTTCACGAAGTGCGCCCATCTGTTTGTTCCCAGGGCGCGTCAAAGTGATGGCGACACAGTTAAACAACAAGGCTATCTCTAAGATACGCGGCCTTTCTTTTTTTTTCACTTTATTTGTGACATGCAGCCACCATGCACGAAAGAAAACAGAAAAAAAATATAACGCTCCCAGTGAGCCACGAGAGCAACACGAAACCAGGCAGTACAAGATGAGAGAAAGAGACAGAGTAGCACTTTTTATCTTGGGTGATATGCATCGCGGAAAGCCGCTACGAAATACATGAAGTGTTGTTACATTATTTTTTTCATTGCATGCAATAAAGTTTCCAGCGCAGACATTACTTCTTCTACCACATGTTAGTGAGGTGTACGATTCACATGCCCCTAAATATAGAGCAGTATGAATTCGCTTTAATAGTCATCAGCGTATTTGACATGGTTAACACTACAACTTGCACTAAAAATTAAGCACCCTTCACAAGGGCCTTCTAGAACCAACACGAACGCTTCGCGCACTCAAAGTTGTCAAAGTGCCTTCCGCAGTCGTAAAAATTAATAAGTGGGATCTAAATCAGAATCGACTTCGAGAATCGCTTTAAAGGGCTTGCAGTTCCAAGCAGCAATGAACGAAAAAAGAGTGCTCTTCTTTTCATTATTAGTAGATATTTTGGGAGAGACAAAGTTGGTATTGGGTGCGAAACTCATAGAATTTAAACGTGATAGCTTTAACAAGCTCGTTTCGTAAAAATTACGGTCTCAGCGTCATTTGTTGTGAGCGGGAAATTATCATATTATGCTTGGCTAAATAATTATATTGATGCAAATAAAATGAACTATAAAAGAATTTGCATTTCAGTGAGGATTAAACCCAGGCCGTTTGCATGGAAAACAGGAGTTCTACCACACATCTACGCGCACGCTCAGAAATACAGCGTTATGAGAAGCGCCAGCGTCTCTTCGATAGCTTGACGCGAGGGCCGAAGGACTAGGCGGGGAACATCTAGGCAGTGGCAAGACGAAGGGCATCCAGACCATCTCCCCGAAGGAAATCCTGGTGGTATGCAAAGCAACAGCGGTGCGCACGGCGTTGACCCAGTTGAATTCAAATGCGGGGTTTAACGTCCCAAAACCACCATATGATTATTAGAGACGCTGTAGTGGAGGTCTCCGGAAATTTCGACCACCTGGGGTTCTTTAACGTGCGCCCGAATCAGAGCACACGGGCCTATACAGCATTTTCGCCTCCATCAAAAATGCAGCCGCCGCAGCCGGGATTTAATCTCGCGACCTGCGAGTGAGCAGACGAGTACCTTAGCCACTAGACCACTGCGGTGGGGTGTTTACCAGGTTGAAACGGGCGTCGACGCGTGTGCAGGAAGAACTGTTTATAGTGAAACTTGGTGTAGCGTTTACTCGAGCAAAGGTTTGTTTGAAACGTAAAGGCATTGGACGTGGGTTTGGTTTCGTGTAAATTTCATCGCAGATAAACAAGCCGAAAGGGTGTTTCCACTCGACATACTGTCGAGCGTGGCGGGCGGTGGAGAGAGTGAAGCGAGAAGCAAGAGTTTTGCGAGCGGGCTGAGGAACCGCCAGCAGCGGGCTCTGCGGTGAGCGTGCTGCTGGTGAAGAAGAGAGTGACGTCAGCGTGCACCTGCGATGGGAGCGTTACGTCAACGCGCAGCTGTGGTGTGACCTTTTTGGCACCGCTACAACACCTGCGGCAAAGGGGACGCGTTGCGGCTGTTCGTACGGACACACGTACGTACGGCGTTACACATGTTAGTCAAAAAGCTGCTTCGCATCTAAAAAAGTTTAATTTAAATGATCCAGCACATGTCTCCGTGAGGAAACCATGAGCATGCGAATAAGTCAAGGGCATGTATAGTTCCGCACGAGTTTTCGTTGGAGATGTCGTTTGTGGACTCAAATAGTTTGTCATTTCATTCCCGCCATTGTATGCACTCGTGTAAACAGGTGTTAGACAGACGTCAGAGAGATGTGTGAGAGGCGTTATAGAGGCGTTTGTTGTTATTGTTGTTGTTATTTAGGAATGAGAGAGGGAGAGATGTTTGTAGGGTTGACACTATACTCTTTCCTTATTTAATATTTATTCTTCCCCGCAGATAACATTGAGCGGAGTAGACTGGGCGCAGGCAATTTCATACCATTGAGCTACCGTGGCGTCTAAAACACATGTACCCGTGACTGTGTTAGTGGAGCATTAGATAAACTTTGAGAGAAACCATGCGGGACCAGAGCAAGGCACAGCTGTGGCGCATACGCAGCGCTCTGTGCCAGGAGCATGCGCAGCACCGAGAGGCGGTACTAGCGTGGACGGTGGAGAGAGGGTGGGAGGTAGGGTCGACCATAAGCTGCTTCACATCAAAAATGGAGCACCGAATGTACTACAAAACATGCGGACGAGGAAGCAGCCGACACTAGATGCGCTGGCTTTTTATAAGCACCAGGAGGCAGAGAGTGCACCGCCGTGGTTCGTACGCGTCCAGCGCCTCTCAGGGACGCGAGTTACGCAACCAGCATCTCCGGCAGGCGCACTCAGTGTCTGTGCGAGGGACGCCAGCAAGGAAGAGAGCACGGCGCAGGGGCTTTGTTACACTCTACCAGGTAGTCTTGCTCTGAGTAGGCCCGTGTGCTCACATTTGGGCTCACGTTAAAGAACCCCAGGTGGTCTAAATTTCCGGAGCCCTCCACTACGGCGTCTCTCCTAATCATATGGTGGTTTTGGGACGTTAAACCTGACATATCAATCAATCAATCAAGTCTTGCTCTGAGTCCAGCCTGTGGGAGCCTTTGCGTTGCTGAGTTGTTGGGCGTTAGTAATGACTGTTAAAATAACTTAATCTGCTTGGAAATTCAGCTAAATATAACGTTAATGCTTTTCAAACGCACGCGTCCTGTATAGAGACTTTACAATATCACACGTAATGTCGCAGTAATATTGCGTGGTACAATAGCAAGCCTTTATTTTCAACCATCAGGTCGAAATTTTGCCACTCAACGTT